AAAGGACCTTCCCTGTCACCTTACCTTGATGATAGTTTACAGTACCTTTATTTTAAGAAAAAAGGTAACATGTTATAGTCTGAAAATTATAAACCTCTAAAAATTACCTGTTCCCATTAAATGTGCTTCCCTACTTAGCAAACATATAATTTCATCTTGTCATCCTTGACTGTTTCCATTTTAGCTGCTCTTTCCCTTGACATGGTATTTCCTTCTTCTCCAATTGTTCCTTTCCAAATCCCAGGGAAAGAATGTTTCAGGCATTTGTGCTATTTTTCTCTTCCTTCCATTCAGGAAGCAGAGATGTTAGGACTGGGATCAGAGCAGAAGGCTTGTAAGCGAAGGATAGTTCCAATTGCAAGTAGGTCTGGGTGGCTCGCTTCATAGTTAGCAGAAGGGGATTCTGTGTTGGCTTGCACCTGGCACATTTGGAAACTGTGTGCAGGAGAAGAACTTGCTTTTATCCCCTAGTTGATTTGAGCTCAGTCTTGGAGATCAAGACAAGAGAGTTCTGCAATCCATTTCCATGATGATTGCTGCTTGGTGGTAGCAGATGCATCAGTGATATGGCTCTGGGTGCCTGTTGGGTCCCAGGCATGAGTGTGAGCTTTCGGCATCATGTGTACCACAGAGCTAGCATGTACTGAGGGCTTATTGTCATTTTCAGCATCCTTCCTGTATTATCTTTATCTCCCTTTATTTGTTTTGACATGGAGCTATGAAAACCTACCTACAGCCTTCCCAGAGTGGAGTGGTTATGGGTGTCCCAAACCTCCTCACTTTTGATAGACCTAAATCACACTTACAACACCTCTAACAAGCGTTAATATATTTTAAGATTACAATATTTGAGGAAATTTTTTGTGTCTTAAGTCTCAGGTCAGGAGGATAAGAAAAGCTGGACTACTTCATGTGGTTAGTCGAGACTGGGGCTCTAGAGTGCCCTCCAGCTTTGCAGACAATAAGTCCTTTCCTAAGAGCAAAAATCACACCTTTAATTCTATAACCCTGGAAAAAAATGAGCACTTGCACATCCATCATCGGGCTCTGTTTCTGGACAGGGATTGTGCACCATTGGACAGGTAAGCCTCTGTCTCCCTGTTTTCCTCTCCAGTCCATTCTCAACTTCAGACTTAGGACCACTCACTTCCTGAGGAAGTCATATCCTTGGCTTGTCTTGATCTATAGTCCTTTCACTTGTTTATCTGCCCAATTCAAACATTTTGACCAATAAGGACATTCTAGAATCCCTTACATTCTTAAGGGCCCAAATGTTCAGCCAACTCTGAAGTCCTTAGTCCTGGCAAGTCCTTTACTACATTTCCGTATATCTACTCTATAATTGCTACTTATTTATGTGATAAGGTCTAATCCCATGCTGCTTGATTCCTCTGCAAATTCATATGTACATGTAGAGCTGGGTATGCAGTTGGCACTTAATAAATATTGAATACATGAGAGACTCTAAACTTAGCTGGATTTTCAAGCTTCTGCTCAGGTGTATTCTTATTGGGTCAACTGCTATAAAATTAATTAAAAAATTTCCTACTCTTTAGCTTAAAAATTTCACAATCACTTCTTTTTCCTACCTTTCCACTGACTTGATTCAAAAAATATTTTGTGAAATTTGATGCACCCTCAAATGTATGTTTTCTCCATCTTGAAATCTCATCATACATTCATGTGCACACTCCTTTTTAAAGACAAGGCCTCTTTCCTTCCTTTCATAACTATTTTCTTTACTGGGACTCTAATAGCTTCCCACCTCAGGTTTTTTTTGGGGGGGGATCTTTTTTCATCTCCTCCCTGGCTTAAATCTACAATCTCTTCTTTACTCACCATATCTCAGGAAAGAAGTCACATTTAATTATCTGTTTTCTCTATCCTAAAATTCTCCTACTTTTAGTCCCAATCTGACTTCAATGAATTTTCTTTGGTTATCTAACATTAAAGGCAACCATGCGTGTTCTATTCCAATTCCTTCCAACAGTTCCTGCTTTGTTTTCTTCTGTATGGATTCAGTCTCCTGTTCTGCCAAAATTGTTTCCCTCAGGTCGACCACTGATTATTGACTAAAGTTAGTGGCCTTTGCTCTGCCTTGTCAGAATGTAGTCGACCAATTCTTTTTTAAATGTGTGGCTTCTCTACTCCACCCGAACTTGACCTTCATGTTGCCATTGTCCCTTGGTACTCCTGTGTCTCTTCTCTACTCTTAGGTTTGTGTATTTACTTTTTTGATTAACAGCTCTTAATAAAACAGTTCTTTTAGCCTTTTTTCCCCTCATGCTTCCCCTAGGTGAACCTCAGCTACATCCATGATTTTAACCTTTCCCACATTATATACTGTCTTCCTCCTCCCCCGCCAAAAGACCCAACTTGAGTTTTCAATAGTTTGCTGTATTTGCCTAAATATTCATTCAGCATCTTAAACTCAACATGCACAAAACTAAATGCTCCTATTCCCATTTAAACAAAGCACTTCTGTTGACTTTTCTATTTAAATGAATGGTGTCACTATACTTGAAGTCACTTACATTATCTCTGTTGAATCCATCTGTGCCTTTTTGCTGTGTATTCCCCAAATTAAGCAGATTAGAACAACAACCATTTTACTGTATTTTGCATTTTCGGGGCCAGGAATTTGGGCCAGGCTCCACTGGGTGATTCTTTTGCTCTTCGTGATATTTACTGGTCACTCAGTGGCTTTACTCATGACTGGGGAGATGGGCTCAGTGTGACCTGGCAACTACAGGACCCAAATGTGAGCTCCCTAGTATGGCAGTGTCAGGGTCTCAGGGCAGTTGGACTTCTGACCTAGTGTCTCAATGTCCCAAAGAACATATTTCAAGAGACAAGTAGCAACTGCCAGATTCATAGGGCCTGGGGTTGGAAGCCAGCACAGTGTAACTTCTGTTGTATTTGATTCAGCAAAGTAGTCACAGAGCCAACCCAGATTCCAGGGGGAAACATAGACACACCCTCAATGGGAGGAATATCAGAATTGTTGGCCATCTTGAATCTTCTGTACTTTCCTTTACCCACATTTATCGTGTGCTGTGTTTGACTTTTTATTCTCATGGGCACTACCAAAGTTACAGCTTCATTTGTTTTTCTTCTGAAAAACTGCAGTAGCTTCAAGTTAACTTCTCCACCTCTGTGCTCTTCTCTATCCAATTTGCTTTGTAGACCGTTGTGAGAATCATCTTATTTATATTAGTAAGAACTTCTAATGTGAATGTACTACGGTGACTTGTTGCCTAAAAATAAAGACTTCACACGTGAGTGTAGTTTGCCATCCAAATCTTAACCTGCTCTCTAAGCTCTGAGCACTTCCCACTACTTCTCTTTGTATTTCCTGGTGTCTGGATCAAGTATAGTAAACCATTCACAATACATGTTGCATACTCCTTCCTCTTCTCCACCCTCGCAGTGTGCCTTTTCATCCTCTTCCTTTGGGATGAAATGTCCTTCTAGAAAGATCCATAAGAGAGAAAAAGGAATGCTTCTACACTGCTGGTGACAATGCAAACTAGTACAACCTCTTTGGAAGACAGTGTGGCGATTTCTGAAAGAACTAGAAACGGACCTTCCATATGACCCAGCAATCCCCCTATTGGGAATATACCTGGAGGAACTGAAATCATTCTACAAAAAAGATACCTGCACATGTGTGTTTGTTGCAGCTCTAGTCACAATAGCAAAAACATGAAACCAACCATGTTGCCCATCGAAGCTGAACTGGATTTTAAAAATGTGGTGCATATACACAATGGAATATTATGCAGCCATAAACAAGGACAAACATATGGACTTTGCAGCAACTTGGATGGATTTAGAGTTGATCATACTCAGTGATTTATCACAGAAACAAAGAACAGATTTCCATATGTTCTCACTCATAAATGGACCTTGAACAATTATAATGCTGTAAGAAAGCGATTGGCAGTAGTGGGAAACAGTCGGGGTGGGGGTTGGGACTGGCAGTTGAGGGAAACTGCTAGGGGAGGGAGGGGCATACCTCATCAACAAGGGTACCTGTATGATCAATGTTTATATACCCCACATGTTTATAATAAAATTATAAATGTACCCCACATATTTATAATAAAAATTAAAAAAAAGATCCACTAGTTGAGCTCCTCTTTATCCTTCAGTATTAAACTAAAATTTGGACTCCTCCCCAGACCCATCACTGATCCCTCTTTGTAGCAGTAGTACTCTCTATTATTTCCCACAACATACCTATTCTCTTTAAAGTCAGCTAATAGCTTGGATTTTGGTTATTTTTAAAAGTCTATCTTTTTACTTTAATACTTGTTAATCTTTTAAATTTTTCATAATCTTTAAAGCCCGGTTTCTAGCATAGTACTTTCATTTCACCCAGTAGGCTATCAGTAGAGATTTTATTTGATTCACACTCGATCTCTAGTCAGGCATTTCACAGGCAGATTACTTATAAATTTGAAAGGTTAAATTTACTAAATATGGATAATTTTAGAAAGTTGGGTAGTATTATGCTAATCAGATTAGTAGTAAAGACAATGGTCATGGTCTTATTAACAATAGATCTTTTGGATGTTGAAAAGTGATGGGCAGGAATTTGTAGGGTTTCCACATGTAGCTCTGAGTTTCCACACAGGGTTAGGATACATGGCCAAGGGGAATCCAATCAATGACCACGACTATTAATCTGAATTTTTAGGAGTGATTGTGATAACTCAGTGAAGCTCAAATGTGAACATTTCTCCTTCTAAAACAAGTGGTTTATGCCATAGTTATTGGGAGAAAGCGAGGTCTGTATTGAGACACACACACATGTACACACATACATGCACAGATTGGAATATCATTCAGGAAAAGATGTTGCCCTAAACTCTCTAAGATTTCCTTTGTCTCCACAAAGTATAACCTTAAATTTAGTGACAGAGCTTTACCAAGAGATCACCCATCAGTAAACACGAACTCATGGTTACCCAGTTGTTCTCTTTTGTGTGTTTTAGGTATTTTCCACACATGAGGGGAAGACAAACTTCTGTTTAGAAGACCAGTGGCTGGAGGCAGAGGCTCCTTGTCCACCATGAAGGGAACCTGTGTCATTGCATGGCTGTTCTCAAGCCTGGGGTTATGGAGACTCACCCACCCAGAGCCACAGGACATGACCCAGTGTCAGAGAGCTGAGCACCCGGTCATTTCCTATAAAGGTAAGGAACAAGCGTGATCTGATTGCATAGCCATTGTCCAAATGCACATTCCATATTTAGTGATACAGGATAATAATTGCTGTATTATTATGTGACTGTTATTTTAGACACTTTAAAATAAAGGTCAAAAAGTCAGGCTCGGTGGCTCAGCCTGTAATCCCGCACCTTGGGAGGCTGAGGTGAGTGAATTGCCTGAGCCCGTGGGTTCGAGACCCGCCTGGGCAACTTGGCGAGACCTCATTTCTACAATAAATCAAAAAATTAGTCGAGCGTGGTAGCGTGCGCCTATAGTTCTAGCTACTTGGAAGGCTAAGGAGGAAGGATCGCCGAAGCCCAGCAGGTCGAGGCTGCAGTGGCCGAGAGCGGTCACTGCACTCCAGTCTGGGTGACAGAGTGAGACGCCAACTCAAAAAAAAAAAAAAAAAAGGTCAAAATACAAAATTCTATATCATTGGAACTTCATATCCAGAAAACTGATCACTACCTCAAGAAAGATCTAAGACAGGGATCACCATGTAGGAAATCCCATTATTTGAGGCTGCCTTTATTTAACCAGCCTCCTAGGCATTTGAGCCAGGGGATGAAAATATGACCAATAATAATGACAACAGAACCAAAGAAAGCAAAAAAAAAAATTTCACTTTGGCATTTTCCTATGAAGCTTTGCTCTTGCCACAAGCCTTTGTCTTTGTCTAGCATTACATGACAGCAAAATTGATTTGATGTCCCAAGTATTTCTATGGAACTGTAGGATTAAATAATTAATCTGTATATCCACTCATTTATTTTTTCATTTATCTACATTTATTTAGTGTATTTCACATCCCAGGAACTCAAAGCATTCAGAGTCGGGAAAAAAAGTAGTCGTTGTCCCTGTCCTCAAGAAGCTAAATCATCAGCCTAAATGTGATTAATCAGATATTGTATTTTAGTACTTCATGCAACAAATAATTTTATATTTTGCTTTTTAAGCTTTGTATTATAAAAAATTTTAAACATATGCAAAAAGAGAAAGAATAGTCTACAGAACACCCAGCCCCATACTTATCAATTTATGGCCCATCTTTTTTTTTCATTTAAATCCTCACCCATACTCTATCCTACACCACAAAGTTATTTTAGACTTTTTAGAATTTTTAGAAAATTTAAGAAATATAATTTTATCTATCCTATTTCAGTTCTCCAAAAATAAAGAACTCACACTACCATTATTACAACAAACAAACACAAAGATTGTATAGCATCATCAAACATCCACTGAGTACTGAGAGTTCCTTGATGGTCTCATGAAAACTTAGGGATTTATTTGTTCATAGTTGGATCAAGTCAGGATCTAAATGAAGTCCATATATTGCATTGTCTGGCACATTTCTTGAGTCTATTTTAATCTTTTACTGTTTTCTTTTGTTCACTTTGCAAATTAATCTTTACTGGAACTGTGTTCTTTGTCCTTTAGACGTTCTCATAGTCTAGATTTTGCCCTTGCATCCTGTTTGTGTGGTTCAAAGTTCTTCTGTCCTGAAAATCTCTGTAAACTCCTGTACTATCTAGAGGCCTGATGAGATTCATGTTTAAAAAAGCATTCAACCTCAAGCAGCCGCCACCGTGTTTTTCTTTAAGCTCTGGCCCCTCCACAATCTGGGGGAGGTATATCTCCCCTTCACTCTCTTTCTCTTCAATCTACATTCTAAGTAAACTATTTTTCTTAATTGAAAGAAAAAAAAAAGAGGGAGACTCCGGTTCTGACCTTTGCCTTTTGGCTGTGTTATGGGTTGTGCTCTGTAGTCCCATCGGGAGGCAGAGGATGTCCAATCAGGAAATGAGCCATCATTGATGATCACTGCTCCAGTCTACTGAATCACTTATGGGTGCAAAACTGGGATTTTCCCATTTCATTGTTTTCCTAATTTAGTGGTTAGATTACCTTTAGATAAACTAACTTTTCTTCATCAACTATATGAATATTCTGAAGGTACAGCTCATATAGGAAAAGTCATATAAATGTCCTTAATGCCTCCACCATTTTTTAAAGAGACGAGTAAATTGGTTCTCTGACATCCAACTGGTCATTCATTCGTCATTCAAAGGGGTTGAATAAGATGTTATGTTTCCTTATCTTGAGTATTAGAATCATTATTATTAACACATGAATTTCAACATACTTGATGTATTTTATTTTAATCCATCGATCTTTCATCCTTGTAGATGGTGAAGTTGTAGCATTTCAAGCTCAGGGGAACCTTTTGTGATTGGCTTCTGAGTTTTTCTGACACCATCCAAGTGATCACTGAGAGCTTCTTTACTCTCTGGGTTAACAGGCTGTTCGTACTTCTTTTACCTATCCACTTCCTTTCATAGATCTGGGAATCACTCATTTCTTGCTGCTTTGAGAACTAAATATGCTCACAGTTAGGTATTTTCAATGAACAGTGTTAAGAAACATTTAAAAAAAAAATACATCATAAGCTTCTTCTGGTACTTTCAACTCATCTATAGTACACTAGGGTCTTTCTTAACCTTTCCCATCTTACATCTCTATTTCTCCCATGCACAAAATCCTGTCTCTGTAGGCCAACTGAATTATTCCTCTGCCTTTTCCTGTAGTGTGCACTGTTGTTTCAGAATAACAGTTTCATGCACACACATGGAGTTGTTCTTGATTATTAAAAACCCTTTAAGATGATTTTCTCTCCCTCTCTCTTTTTTTGTCTTCCTGATGTATATTTCACAGGGGAATTCAAGCAAAATTATTGCTTTAAAATCACTTAAAATAATTTCCTTCTGAGCAGTTACAGCACCAACACAGAACCCAGTTAATTTCACTTGTTTAATTTGGCTTTTGATTTTTTAGAGATTCTTAAAATTTACATTACGTTATTATGTAGTGTTTCAAAGTCAAATCATTGAAACAAGGGATGTTCAGAGGAATCTAGCTTTACTCCTTATTTTCTTTAGGCTGTTCTTTTTGTATTTAACACACTTTTTTTGGTAATATGAGTAAGGCAACACACATATGCATATATATACACCTATGTATTCATATTCTTCTTTTTTAGATTAAAGGTGACATTTTATAGACTTGTGTCTATGTAGCAAATTTTTTTTTAGCATAATAGTGTCTCCTGGAGCCTACTCCCTAGAAGATATAGAGATTTATGTCTTTATTTATTTATTCATTTGTAGTCACATAGCCCTCCACTGTATAATGAGCCCTAGTCTACTCTACAACTCCTTACTGAGATGCTTAGGTTATTTTTTGTCATTTGTGACCATGGGTGCTGTTTCAATAAGTAGTGACTCCTGTAAACATCATTTCATATTTTTGCAGGGTACCATTGAAAGGAATTTTTAGAATTGGATTTCTGGCTCAAAGGGTGAATGATGCTGCCTGATTCCCTTTCATGAAGGTTGCACCATTTTGTTTTTGATTTGCTCTGGATCAGATTTTGTTACCCTGTAGGATTTCCTGCAAGGTGTATCATCAGGTTTTGGGATTTGGGCCAAACTCATAGTATCACAGTCTCAATATTTTTGTAATTTGAATATTTTAAAATTTAGAGTGATCATTCAATGAACATTTAATTGCAGCCTATAACGTATGAGGTCTGTGCTAAATATTGAGGTAATAGAGGAAAAATTACAGTACCTGTTAAAAGAGTTTATACTATTTTTAGGAATATGAACCAACAGGGCCATTGCATTACACTCTGTCAAGGACTGTAACAGTTGTCCGTGTGGTATGACATGGAGACCAGGAGAAGGACTCTAAGTCTGACATAGTGGGCTGTAGGATGATGGTTAAGGGATGTTTTTAGGATGAGGACATACCATAGCTGAGATCCAAATGATTGTTAGAAAATGTTTATGGAACTCATAAAAGGAGGCATTTACAGGGGGCGGAAAAGAGCAAGCGATAATCCCTGAAGAGAGGAAGGTGGGCATCTCAGGTCCTGGCAAGTGTCACGTACAGTAAGTCATGACATCTTATTTTAAGTTATAGAAGAGGAGGTGGAGAGGATCAGACTCATGTAGCTAGTGGGGATTTGATAATGTGTGACATTGGAAGATATCTTAAGAAGTTTGTCCTCTCTTTGGAGGATAGAAAAAAATGGCATCGAGAGACAATGATCAGAGAAAGAAGGAATGAAGAACTGAGATAAAGGGAGTGAGTAGAAGAAATGTAGAAAAGTGGATGGATTCTAGAAATTTGAAGAAGGAATTGTGGATGATTTTAATGGGCATAGGACAGGAGGGAGGAGGAAGCACTGAGTGCTATATCCATGTTCCTAGGTGTTGGTTTCATATTGAATCAAGGAGAGAAAGAAGATGTGAGAAGTGTAATGATTTTAGATTCAAAAGTCTGAGTTCCTATAAGCCATCAGATCGAATTATTTAGTTGAGAGCAAGGCTTCATGGGAAAAAAGAAAGGGGAGATTTTCAAGGGAGGTGGGTAGCCATCAGAGTATCTAAGGACACAGCGTGTTCAAGGAAGACATAGACCAGGAGAAAAAGGGACAAAGTTGTCCTGGTTTTCCTGGGACTTTCCTATTTTTAGCACTCAAAGTCCTTTGTTCTGGGAAAACTGAAACAGTTGGTCACTCTCCCACCTATTCTGTCAGCAATGATGTATTTGCTTCTTAGAGCTGCTGTAACAAATATCAACAACTGGGTGGCATCAAACCACATAAATATCTTCTTTCACGGTTCTGGAGGCCAGAAGTCCAAGATCAAGGCATTGACAGGGCCGTGTTCTCTCTGAAGACTCTGGGGAAGAATCCTTCTTTGCTGTCCCCCTAGCTTCTTGTGGGTCGCAGTGCTCCTTGGCATTCCTTGTTTATAGATACATCGCTCCAGTCTCTTGGTCTGTAGTCTCATGGTGTCCTCCTTGTGTGTCTGTGCCTTTTTTGGTTTCCTCTCTTTTTATAAAGACACAAGTCATATTGTGCTTAGGGCTAACCCTAATCCAATATGACCTCAACTTGAACAACTCATCTGCAAAG